CATTTAAACTAGAAAAACCTTATTCTCGTCTAGCTTCTCGTCAATACTTTTTCACCTTACGAGTAATCAACAAATGGAACTCCCTCCCAGATGACGTTGTAAATGCTACTTCCGTAAGCAATTTTAAAAACAAACTCGACAATTATCTAAAAGAAGAAAAAACAATTTATGACTAGTATATTTATATAGTAATCATAAGACAGGTTGACAGGCATTTCATGCCTATACAAATCCAATTTGTAAACCTTAATAATAATAATATATATATATATATATATATATATATATATATATATATATATATATATATATATATATATATATATATATATATATATATATATATATATATATATATATATATATATATTATATATATACCTACTTTTATTTTTAAAAATTGTTTTTTTAAAAAAAAACCTTATTTGTGTTTAAAATTTTATCTTTATCGATTACGCTTAAGGTTTTTTGATTTTTTAAACGGTACTTATATAACCGTTGGCAAACTATGCCGCCATCTTGGTAGGCCAAAACTGGCCTCAAAAATTTTTCCGAATGCGCTATCCAGTTATTATTTTGAGATCAGTGGGTAATTCTTTACTTTTAAAAAGAACTTCGATAAAATAAAAAAAAGTAAACAGTTTTTGAAAAGTAAACATTTTTTAACGTAAACAAAGAACGGGAATATTTTTTTATTTCTTAGATTTATTAAATTAAAATTATTTCATATTTTTAATACAATATTAAAAAAAATTATAAACAAATTTTTTTTTAAATAAGGTTTATGAAGTTTTGGTTACATAGATTTAAGTAATTGTATTTAAAACATCTAATTTTACAAACAATTAACCCTCTATCAATAATTTGTAAAAACTAAATTAATGCTTTGCGGTATTGGATTTATAAACAACATGACGGATATATCATGCTTGAAATCTTTTCAATAAGCTGCATCAATTTTTGTCTTTAACTTAAGTTATAAGCACTTTCCAAGTGGCACGTAAAAATTTTTAAACTTCTTAAGTTATAAGGAACAAGTCTATGTAAAAATCAGAATGTCCACTCAAAATGTTTAGTTTTCCGTTTCTTTTTACATGTAGCAACCAGACTATCATGATCATTTTGTTATTTGTAGCGTAACAACACATGCCATACGAAACTTTATTTATTTAACAAAAGAATTAATTGCAACAATTTATTTAGAAATTATTTAAAAAACATAAATTTCATTTTATAAATATTAATTTTTAAAATTATTCAGAAATTATTACGTACGCAATATAGAATCACCTGAAAGTATTTTTTTAAACAATAAAGTTTTAAGATACATTTGTATGAAAAGCGAAAAAAACGACTTTCAAGATGGATGCAAAATTCTGCGCAGTAAACGCAAATGCTCTTGTTTATATCATTATTGCCACTGATGGGCCAGTATCGGCTCAATGTCTGTTGTTCTACTTCGGCAAATCTTCGTTGGACCATTAATGGCTTTTTTGTGGCTACCCAGCTCAGGCAACTCGGCAATGGCCCTGTTACGGCTTCCCAGAACTGGCAATACAAGAACGGAACTTTATCGGACCTTTAAAGAATTCGCTGGCATTGGCTAGCCATTATCGGACCAGTATATACTTTTTTTATTTATTTTTAAGTTGATTAAGGTGCTCCAAGAAGTCCTTACGGTCTTATCACAGAGCACCGCGGAAGAGCATTTAACAGGAAGTTCACGCCTCCTTCCCAACTGATGTCGCAAAACTTGCCCAGAGGTGGGGTTTGAACCATGGAACTTACGTTTCTGAGGCAAGTGCGCTACCACTGCACCACGGCTGCTACTTGCTGTCTGGGTAAGAATTTTGCCAATTTATAGGCTAAAAAAAGTTTACTTTTAATATTGCATAAAATTTAAATTGGTTCTTGTTTAATTTTATACATAAATGATTTATAATTTGCATTTGGACCTTATTTAATCCTATTTTTCACTTTAGGTTTCATTAATAACTACCCAGACAGGAAGTATATACTGGTCCAATAATGGCTAGCCAATGCCAGCGAATTCTTTAAAGGCCCGTTAAAGTTCTATTCTTGTATTGCCAGTTCTGGGAAGCCGTAACAGGGCCATTGCCGAGCCTTTATAAAATTGCCTGAGCTGGGTAGCGACAAAAACACCATTAATGGTCCAACAAAGATTTGCCGTAGCATAACAACAGACATTAGGCCAATACTGGCCCACCAGTGGTAAAATCAAACTAATAATGATATAAACAATAGCATTTGCGTTTACTGCGCAGGTTATTGCATACATTTTGAAAGTTGTTTTTTTCACTTTTCATACAACTATATCTTAAAACTTTATTGTTTAAAAAAATACTTTCAGGTGATTCTATATTGCGTGCATAATAATTCTTAAATAAATTTTAAAAATTAATATTTAAGAACGAAAATTTTTTTTTTTTTAATTTCTAAATAAATTATTGCAATTAATTATTTTGATAAATAAATAAAGTTTCGTATGGGATGTGTTGTTACACTACAAATAACACAATGATCACGATATATTAACATTGTTTACATAAAACATTAAGCATTAAATTGGTTTAATGATTAAATTAGTTTTTTTTTCAACAAGCTAAAACTGGTTTAAGAAACTTAAAACCTAAGTTAGCTTAAGAAACAAAACATAGTATATGGTAACTGAAAAATGATTGATATTGATAAAAAAAAATTGATAGAAATGTTGGTTTGATAAAAAAGGAAATTTATAAAATGTATGTCTATTATTGCGAAGATTATTTAAGCAGTTTTGCTTTATTTTATTATCTTTTTGTTGTCATATTTACAACTTTTCTGTAATATAATTTTAGTGTTATTAACACATTTGTCTTTTATATTCTTATCGTTTAATAGGAATAATATAGAGATAACATTTTCTTTATAAATATATTATAAGAATGTTATTGTGTTATGCAAAGCTGTTGTAGTCAAAATATAGATACCTAAGTATTACTAACATGAAGCACTAGATAGGAAAAGTTACCAAGTCTATATATCTAGATTTGAACATATAAGTGTTAGCAAAATAATTTGAAAAATTCGTTGTTGACTTTGTTATTATTATTTCTTTCTTGAAGTTTAATCATTATTTAATATTGTTTTCAAATAAATTTGCTAATTTGTTTACTTAAAAATACATTAAATAAATAAACCAACAAAGTTGTGATACACATTATTAGTGTATAGTCTAACAAAAGTAGATGGCAGACTTTAATAGATTTTTACAGTTTCTATATATTTATTGTAGAGTGTTAAAAATATAACTAAGTTTTTCGTTTTCACAACTTCTATTTATAAATGGTTTTATTTGTCAGCTATTTTGTTTCTGAAAAAATAATGTTGATCGTTTCATTTTTTGTATCATTTATTGTTGTCTTTTGTAATAGAATTTTTTCTAAATATTGGAGCAGTATGCCAATTTATTACATCTAAGTCATTAATATTTCTGTATAGTTATATCACATCACCTCTTGATCTTCTGATTTAAATGAATAGAGAAAAGTTTGTCAGTGAGTTTTTACATGATAAATCTTTTAAACTATAAACACGAATCGCTCTATATTGTCCAATCATAATAAAATGTTTCCATATATGTAAACTCCTTAATGGTGATCAATATTCAAGTTGAGACGGGGTTTGAAAGGAAAATATAGTGACTTCAAATAGGATTGCCCAATGAAAATCCATAACAATCCCATGCGCGAACCAGTTCGTTAACAAAGACTAAATCCCGTTGGTACGGTAAAATACGATGGTATGTAAAAATGGCTAATCGTTGTTCTGCCAGTTCATGTCCTGCACTGGTTAGCCGCTGTTTTGCCATCGCTGGCTAGCCACGGCTGGTCCATGAAAAATCCTTAGAGTAAAACGGAGCTTCGCTAGCGTCGGCAGCCAAAGCCGGTCTAGCGCGGCAGCCTACACAGGGCCAGTGCGGGACCGTTATATCCTTGCTGTTTGGGTACCAAGTTAATTGCTGTCTGGGTACCAAATTAAATACATAATTCATAAAGAGCGCAATTAAAATCTTTTTCCTGGGCGCGGGAATTGCTTGGCCGGCCATGCTTTAATTTATAAAATGCGGGTGAAAATTAATTTTTTTTTTTTTTAATTTTTATTCTGCCTGTCCAAACCAAAACTTTTAATCGCTGTATATACACTTAATGCATAATTTCCATCTTAAGATCAGTTGATGTATGCACAGTGTGTATACATCAACTGATTTTAAGAAGGAAGTTATGCATTAAGTGTATATACAGCGGTTAAAAGTCTTGGTTAGGACATTGCACACTCTATTACGTCTACCTGAAAAATCAAGTAATGCATGTTATACATTTTTATCAAAAGACGACTTCCTTGCAAACTAAAATTTTGAGTTGATTTATCTACACTCTAACGAAGCAGGGAACGTGGACTCTTGGTATGTTAAAAATCGCAAACCGATTCAACGCTAGAGACGGAAAACGGAATAAGACAGAAAAGCCGTAATTAATGAGTTAGTAAGTTTTTTCTCTCAGTCGTAATAGGCAATCATAAAAGTTACAAAAAGGAAGGAAATGAATAATTTTAAATATGTCGAATTTCCATTGGTCTATTCATTAAAAAATTATGATAAAAATCATCATTTTTTAATGAATAGTTATTTTAATGATCTATAAATGATGATAAAAATCATTTGATTTTTATCATCATTTATAGATCATTAAAATAATCATAAAAATAGGGGGACAAAAGAAAGCTTGATTTGCTAATTATTGAGAATAGCTTTCCCCTAATTTTTCTGTGATTTTTCAAATTTTTTTTTGTCTTTTAATTTATATAAAACAAAACTTTATTAAAAAAAAAAGAAAACAAAAAGAAGTTTAAAATATTGAATAATTATATCTCAACTAAAATTAGAGATCGATTTTCTAATGACTTGAAATGTAGAGTTGACTATTTAACTGTAAACTATAGTTTACTGTTATATAGTTAGCTTTAGTAAACTATTTTTTTCTATTTTACTAGAAAAAATATATATAATGTCTAATATTGCTCTTGGAAGGCTTTCAGAAGAGAGAAAAGCATGGAGAAAAGATCATCCTTTTGTAAGATTTCTTTTTAAAATATTTTTTTACAAAATGAATAGTCAATTATAAGTTTATTATTATAATATTAGTGGTACACAGTACAGTCATGTTTAAAAAGATAATGAATACTATTAAATTATCCAATACAATTGACAAAAAAAAAAAAAAAAAAAAAAAAAAAAATTGTTATGTTAGTAAATGTTAGCTTTTTAATTTAATAAGTTGTTTAACTTTGAGCTTTCAGATAATAAGCCAGACAAGTTAGTATTTAATGAATAAGTTTCATCCAGTTTTCAGAATTATAAATTTACTAAGTATTATTAGGAGTGTTAAATAAAATAAGTAGAACAAGTTAAATTTATTTGTTATTTTCTATTATTTATTATGGTTAGAACATGTGGCAATGTCAACAAAAAAGACTTGTTTAAGGACAATTTTAATACCGCATTTAAAAGAGAATAGTTTGAAAATTTTCCCAGTTACACAATGATAATGGTTTATGGAGAAGCCTAGCATATCAGACTCTAATAAAGCTTTTAATATGTCATGAGAATTCACACATTTTACTTTAAAGCATACCTAAAGAAAACTATAAAAAATATCTTGAAAGGAAATAACTTATAATAATCATAAACTTTATTTTGAACATTTATTTATGAATAAGAAAATTTTACATTTTTACAATACTACAGACTAACTATTACAGTTTATTACAAATCATCTAATTATTCTTATAATTATAATAAGCTTCTTCTAATATACAATTATTGATTTTTTTTTCTATTTTAAAAATAGATTTTTTTGAGTGTTTTCTAGTCATAGGTTCAGGGTTGGCAAAAACCCGGGTTTTTTTAAAAAACCCAGCCCAGTGGGTTTTTTTGGGTTTTATTGGGTAAATTTGGGTTTTTTTGGGTTTAATTTTTATTTTGTCCCTGTAAAAATTTTTTTTGTGTTTTTGTTAAATGATATTGAAAATTAGTTTCATTTTCTACTTTAACTTTATTTAAAATATATTTTATATATTGTTGTTTAATTATTTATAACAAGAATTTTTAAAATTATTTTAAAAAAGATTTTTAAATATAATTTAAAACTGTAATAGAAAAAAAAAATTTCACGCTTAATCTATATGTATTGATTTATTTTAAATTTAAAAGTATTATTCTATATAATTAAAAATGTCAATGAGAAAATGGGAAAAAGAAGGCTAGAGAATGGGAGGTAGTAACTGAAGTTTCAATTAAACTTTGAACTTAAAATTCAAATGAACAAACTTGTTCCTCTGCACAGCGGCCTTGTTTATAAAGATTCGTGTTTAGGAATTAAAGAGTTTTTTTTTTTTTAATCAATTCACTTCCTCAAGGCTTAAGGCCACTTCAACCCTTTCTCAACTCTATAACTCCGAAACACGAACCTTGACGAACAAGGCTGCTGCGCGGAGAAAGGAGTTGAGCGCGGTACTGCCAGAGACGTGGTGGGGATCGAACTCGGAACCTCTCACTTATGAAGCGAGTGCTCTACCACAACACCACTACCGCATAAGAGTTGAGAGAGGATTGTAACCACAACAAGGTAGCCTCCTCGACTGTTGTGTTGGCTTCTCTGGTCACTACTACTCATTTAAATTCAACTTGGGAGGTGAATAACATAAAGTAATAAAAATCTCAATTGATAAAAATATTTGAATAAAAATTGTAATAATGTATTTCCAAATAATTATTCAAATAATAGTAAACCTGCTCTGATAGCTGTTATTGTTGGTTATAATAGTTAATAATAATAGTTATTAATAATTTATTTAATAATAATAGTTAATAATTATTTTAGTTAATAATATTATAGTTATAATGTTAAAGTTGGTTATAAATGTTCATAAACTTATTAAATATCTTTAAAAAAACCCAATAAAACCCAATAATTTTTTTTTATTAAGATTTTTTTATATTGGGACTGATTTTTTTCTTCTTTTTCACAAAAGCTACAGGTAGTTCAATTTAACTTACAAAAAATAAATACAAACTTGAAAAGTATATCTGCTATTTATGTAGACCTGATTCCAAAGACTTGACTATTTTCTATAATCCCTGCACTCAGTTTTTAGTATGTTTATGCCATAGATTATCTTCTCTTTCATTATGAATAATATAGGTTGCTTATAGTAAAACATGAGTAATCAGCTTGAGTTGACAGTTTAGTGTAAATCTTCCTCATTTTACATCTTATGATACCTGGTTTGTTGCTTAATTTTATGATATTCTGTGAAGTGATATAAAAGTTATTAGTTTTGTATTATTAAGTATAAATATTTGCTGAGTTATTTTGGTTATAGCTTCAATATGCTTGATTAAGTTTATATTTCCAGTTAAAATGTTCAAATATTGTAACTGGAAATATAATTTTGATTAACTATAGTAATTTTGTTTTAAATAAGTGCGGTAGTGGTGTAGTGGTAGAGCGCTCGCTTCATACGCAAGAGGTTCTGAGTTCAATCCCTACCACGTCCCTGGTAGTACCACGCTCAACTTGTTTCTCCGCGCAGCAGCTTGTTCATCAAGGTTTGTGTTTCGGAGTTATAGAGTTGAGAGAGAGTTATAACCACAAATAAATAGCCTCCTTGTCTGTATTGGCCTTCTTGGCCTTGAGGAGGTGAATTAACAAAAAAAAAAAAAAAAGTTTAAAACAGAGTTACTATAAGGTCAATCCATGTCAATTCAACCATAAAAAGTTTTTTCTGACACCATGTCTCAGCAAATCTCAGATTTTGATGATTTCCAAATTTTATTGACCAACTGATAACAGTTTTGGAGATATCAATACTCAGTCCCAATCTCTTTTTTGACTTTTTTCATCACCATTAATTTTTTAAACACAGTGTCACACAGCTTTAAAAATTTGTTCCTAAATATAATATAGGGTGAAGAACTCAAAAAAATATGGCTAAAACACCAAAAAATCAAAGCTTCTTTTAAAAAATTCAATTTTAAAATGGAGCAACCCTTTTTTTTTTTGAGTTTTCTGATCCCCTTTACAAAAAGAAGTATATCTTGAGATGCCTAAAAAATATGATTATGAAGTTTTTTTTCTATGGTTCTATATTCTGTGACTATTATATCATTCAAGAGTTGCTCTAGGTAAAAAAATCTTATTACAAGTTACAAATTACGTAAAGAAGTTTAACTCAAAGTAAATGACTTGAATATACTTATAGGAAAAATCAAAATAATTTTTTTTTTGAAATTATCAAATGATTAGTGAAGCTTGTTTGGGGTAGAGCTAACAAAAGTTGCATGATACATTTCAGGCTTGGTCAGGAAGGCATGCAACCGCATGCCATTATATGACCATGCAAATAATACTTTATTTTGACGATTTGACCACGGTTTTTAACATTTAAAAAATGCACTGAAAAAAATTATTTTTAGTTATTTCAAAAATAAATAACTTTGAAACTTTTATCTTTACTAACATTTTTATATTAGCGAAATGCTTTTAAATAAAGTAACAGTTACTGTTAACATTTTAATAGATGAAGGTTGTATAAGTTTCATCTATACTTTAAAAAGAATTGTAAAGTTTTTTTTTGTTATCTTTTAAATGTGCGTATTTATTAAAAATCGTTGGAAGTTATTTTTTTGTTCGTAAGTCAGTTGTCATTTTTGTGAAACGCATCCCCCTGCTCTCTTCCTCCCCCCCCCCTCCCTCCAAAAAAAAAGGCGTCATTCAAAAAAGTTTCCTTGTTAAGTTTGATAGTTTTTTAAAAAAATACCACTAATGCGCAAGGAAGTTTTTTATAAAAACAAAAGTGTTTATTTACAATTTTTTGTCAATTAGTACTATTTTTTTTTTTTTAATATATTAATATAATTTTATATGGTGCGGTAACCAAGCAGACGGGACATTACTAGTTTTACATTATTAAAACATTAGTAAAGATTCAAAGTTATTTATTTCAAACATAATTATCTAATTGTTAATTATTTATTTTAGTTAAGTTTTGTTTTTATTTTTTTATTTTTGTTTTAGTTATTTATTACTAAGCTATTTTTATTTTATTTTTCTTTATTTTTTATAGAAGATTTTATTTCTTTTTTTAAAATAAGTTTGTTTTTTTAGTTTCTTTATAACAAAGTTATGTTTTCAGCGCCTTATTAAAATGTTAAAACTGTGGTCAAATAGTTAAAACAAAATATTATTTGTGTGGTCATATAAAGCTGTGAAATCGCACGCCTTCCTGACCAAGCCTGGATACATTGGTGCTCTTTGTGTCTTGAGGATGCTATATTAAAATTATATCTTGAAAATGAGTTTATAAGATGGTATTGATGAAGATGATTTATGTATAGATTACAAACAATAGAAGAAAATAGATTGATCTGAGCTAGTAAGTATAACTGAATCCATAAGTAGCTTCATTAATACTTTGACAGATAAGTTACAAAAATTTTACTGTTCATTCTTACAATGCAAAAAGTTAAACTGCTTCTTTAATTAAATTAAAAAATGAGTTATGTAGTTCTGAGGTCATTGTGATCTGTGATTTTTCTGAAAATTATGAGTTTGTTGTACAAGACGAAATTCAAAGTTTTCACTGAAAAAAACTCAAGCAACATTACACCGAACAGTATTTTATTACAAAATAAAAAATGTAGTTCAATGTGATTCAATATGTTTCATCTCTTATGACTGCATGATGTAGATATGTTAATGAAGTTAACAACTGAATATATTAAAAGCAATATTTCTAAGGATATAGAAAATGTTTATTCAGAAGGGTGTGCTGGCTAATATAAAAACTTTAAAAACTTTATAAATATATGCTATCATGAGCAAGATTTTGCAATCAAATATACATGATCTTTTTTTGCAACAAGTCATGATATAAGTCATTGTGATGGTATTAGTGGGGCTGTGAAAAGACTTCAATTTGCTAGTCTTCATAGAACAACAACTAACCATATACTTATGGCTTTTGCAATGTTTGATTTTTGCCAAAATGAAGTTTTAGAAATCAGTTTTTACTACATATCCAAGGAGTCAAACACAATAGTCCGAAGTGTAATGAAGTAAAGATACACAAGTGCAAAAAAATTACCAGGGACTCACAACTATCGCAATTTCACTCCTATAAGTAATACAAAAATTGGAACTAAAGTTGTTTCTGAACAACTAGATTATTCATTTGTTTTTAATTTCTAAACTGATGAAATTAAGGAATGTTTGTTTGCAAATATGAGCCTCGGAATGTGCGTATGTTTGATATAAAATACCCATCTATGAATTGGACTAGTTGAGGAGATGGACTTTGAAAATAAAAATTTCAAATAAGGTACATGCATTTATGTTAAAAATTTAAAATTTTGTTATTGGTCTTCAAGAAATGATGTGTGTTGGGTTTCATCAACAAACTTATTCTTAATAATTAATATTTCAACAACTGTCACAGGAAGACAGTACACAATCAGTAAAATTGAGCACCAGAACATTAAAGACAGTTGGCCAAAATTTAAACCAGAGATTTTTTTGAATATGTTTAAATTTGTTACATTCTTATTACATTTTAACTTTTATTTTTTAATGTTTTTGGTTTGTTATTGTAGTTAAATATATTTTTTGAGTTTATTATTTAAAACTTTCAATGCATTGAGTTTATTATTACTAAAAATTTTCAATAAATCAGATTAAAAAAACAATACCTTGCATTTTTTTATTTATTTTCGAGTTAAATACATATAAAACCATAGGAAAAAATAAAATTCATTTTTATATCATTTAGGCATTTCAAGATATACTTCTTTTTGTAAGGGGATCAGAAAATAGATTGGGACCAAGTATCAATATCTCTAAAACTGTAAGGAGTTGGACACTGAAATTCGGAGTGATATTTTTTTTTCCATTTATTTAAGCTTGTTTACTAAAAATCATCAAAATATGAAATGGCATGGTATCAAGCATAACTTGAATTGAGCTGGAATGACCATATAGAAAAAGATTCAAGTGATTTTTGAAAATAACTTACCAGACTAATGATAAAAAAAAAAAAAAAAAAAAAAAAAAACAATTTTACATATTTATAAACCTTTTGTTTATACAACTATGTGTCAAATAAAACTGCTTGATAGATAAATGGTTAAAGTATATATATAAATACACATATGAGGCCTTACAAAAACCAAAATGTTAGTATTATAAGTTTGCAGAAATATTTTTTTTTTTTATCAACTTCATAATGTTGTTATGACAAAAAAATTAATATTAGTTATTTTTATTGTTAATTCTGACAAAATCAATTGTTAATGTTCTAAAAAAATAATTGTTTGAAAAATCAAAGTAGGAGATGCAGTGATTTTCCTTGAACTTAAAGCACTTTTGAATTTTTGGTTTAATTAAATATTCTGAAAGGGAAAACTTTGATATTTTCCATTTTGTTTATTAGCTAAATTTAGTGTCGTATAGTTTATGGACAATTCCTAAGTGTCATGGTGTTAAAAGTTATGTGTATTTTAAAACATAGCAAATATTTTTATAAATGAAAATCTTTTTAACATAGGAGGTCCAAAAATCACAAATAGGAAGACTTTTTTTTCAGTACAAAAACTTGGTACATTTTCCATGATTTTAGAAAAACATTTTTTTTTACACATGAAGTTGAAAAAAATTGTAATTCTTATTAATGAGTCAATTGTTGATGCAAAAATTATTTTTTTTAATTTTAATGAGGTCACTTCCTTTACTGCTCATTATCTCCTAGTTTATAAATTAGTTTTCGAAGGCTTGATATTGTTTCACATGGCATTCCTTAAATTTTGAACAGTTATTTTGTTAAATTTAAAAATTTGAGATTTCTAGGTTTGTTTAAATAACCCAATGTTTTAGGGATTTGTTGCAAAGCCTGTTAAGAATACAGATGGCACATTAAACTTAACCAATTGGGAGTGCTGTAAGTACTTTTTTTTATTCCATTTTTTACTGTGCAGTAATCCATTGTAGTTTTCATGTTTTGTTTTGTTATGTTGACATTTTTTATTTTATTTTTTATTTTATTTATTAATCTTTTTACAGCAAAGCCATAATATATTTTAATTAACCTTTGAGTCAGGTTTGGATTGATAGTGTTAATTATTAAATCATTTTTATTTTATAATTTGTAAAATTCTGAATATGGCCTTTACTTTTTTTGAATAAAGTTATCTGGGCTTTTGCTTTCCGGACTAGTCTGGATGAATTGTCCTTTTTATAATTTTCTATATTAAGTAATTAATTTCTTTAACTACATAATATCAAAAACGTCGCCATGTTTACAAAAAATAAATTTTTGAAAAATATAAAGTTGTTTTAGTCTTGAAATTAATGAAGAAGTGTTACACCAGATACTTCTATGCTGAAAATACTCGGTGTATCTGGTTAACTATTTATGTTGTTGTTTTTCTGGTAAGAAAGTTCTTGAAAGTATTTGTTGACAATGCGGTTACAGTTTACGGCGGTAAAGAATTCTAATCATTTATGACACGGCTTGTGAAATAATAGAATCGTTCAGCACAGTCCGTTTGACCAGTCTACTGCTTTGTTGATGTCATTTTGCAAAAAAGCAGCATCTTTGTTCGATTTGATAACTCCCATAATTTTACAATCATCAGCGTATATTTTGATGTGGTTTGTGATATTATAAGGGAGATCATTAATAAAGAGGGCAAACAGTAGTGGGCCAAGAACTGTGTTGAGCCATTTTTCGATCCAAGTCTATTTACTCATTTAGTATAAAAGTCTTTTTTTTTAAACTGCATGATCATTGTAAATGATCATGGAGTTTATGTTAAGTTACTTCGTACCTGTGCAAGAAATTCTGAGTTTGTGAAAGGTTTTTTTTTGTGCACAATTTTCAACTGTTTACAAATTTGTGAAAGGTTTTTCTTCTGAGTAATTTGTGAAAATGTAGTTACACTGTTTTTGCACCAGTGACTTCACATCGGTGACTCTTTTTAAAGTTTCTAAAAATGTAGGTTTTATATGGCCATCAAAAGTAACCTATGAAAAATAATAATATTTTTTGGTTGAAAAACACTTAAATAGGTTTTGAAGTGTTTTTTAAATGTAATATATGAAATCTAAGGATTTTTCACAAGTGTGGAGTTGATATGTTGCTCACAAAATTTTTAAAAAAATCTTTATTATAAGTCCTTAATTAAAGTATGAGGTGTAAAAAAGAATTTTGAAAAATAGGTTGTAATCAAGTTATTTTTATTGAATAGACCATTTTAAACTGTTTAACAAAAGATCAAAGGTAGCTGTTAAAAGATTGAAAAGTGAGAAACATGAACTAAGATTGTATGTATCGAAAACACAAGGTAGTTAAATCAGTAGGAATTTAAAATTTCAAAGCTATAAATTTCTAAATTTTGTTGTGGAGAAACTATTTTTCAATATAAATGAAAGAAAAAAACTATTTTCAGCAGTTTTAATAATTTGAAATTGAACAAAGATTATTACTTTCATGTACTTCATCACCAGATCTACATATGGTAAATCTACTTATGGTAATTAAACATAATTAGTTTTCTATTAATTTAATTGATTTAATTTAATTTGGAAATATGTACATATGGTAATTAGTATGACCATCAATATGGTTGCATATGGTTTAATATTTAGTAAAATAATATAATTAGCAAAATGGTTTTATAATTAAATACAAAATCTCCAAAATTGGCAGCCATAATTTAATGTGAACATTCCACGAGAGATGCTCTTATTTTCATAACTATGCTAAAACATATTGAAATGTGTTAAAATAGAAATTTATGTTTCTTTGTTGTTGTTTTTTTTTTTTAATTTTAAATATTAGATTTTATTTGTTGGTAATTGTTAGTTTTAAATTAGTGTATTTTTGATTTCATTAATTTTAAAGTTGGATTTTAATATTTGTTTTTGTTTTTAATTTTTAATAAAAGTGAAAATAAAAATGTTCCTTTTGTTTATTTATCTTTAATTAAAACAGTTTCGTTGGTTTATTCTCTATTCTTTTATACTATATTTAAAAAATTTTAAATGTAACTTTTTAAAATGTCAGTTCTTTTTGTTTAATTATCTTTAATTAAAACAGTTCGGTCAGTTCTTTTCTTTTACTTATCTTTAAATAAAACAGTTTGGTCAGTTCTTTTTCTGCAACTTATAAGCAATACATGTTTTATCTTTTTTTTATTTTTTTATTTTTTTTAATTGCTTTTTTACTTGTGCCTTTTTTTTTCAGCTATACCTGGTAAAAAAGGAGTAAGTCATTTATTTTTTGTTTTTTCTTTTTTCAAGTTATCAATAGTTTTATTGAATTAAAAGTTCTAATTAGAACTTAAAAGTATTTTATTTGAGGCTGTAAGAATATTTGCTTATGGGGTAAGAACATTTTTTTCAATACATATATATATATATATATATATATATATATATATATATATATATATATATATATATATATATATATATATATATATATATATATATATATGTATATATATATATATGTATATATATAAATAGATATATATATATATATTTATTTATATACATATATATATATATACACATATATATATATATATATATATATATATATATATATATATATATATATATATATATATATTAAAAATAAATAAATAATAAATAAAAATAAATATATAAATAAACATATATATATATATATATATATATATATATATATATATATATATATATATATATATATATATATATATGTATATATATATATATATATGTATATATATATATATATAAATAGATATATATATATATATATATATATATATATATATAATATATATATATTTATATACATATATATATATACACATATATATATATACATATATATACATATATATACATATATAAATATATATATATATATATATATATATATATATATACATATATATATATATATATATATATATATATATATATATATATAATATATATATATTTATATACATATATATATATACACATATATATATATACATATATATACATATATATACATATATAAATATATATATATATATATATATATATATATATACATATATATATATATATATATATATATATATATATATATATATATATATATATATATATATATATATATATATATATATATATATATATGTATATATATAAATAGATATATATATATATATATATATATATATATATATATATATATATATATATATATATATATATATATATATATATATATTAAAAATAAATAAATAATAAATAAAAATATATATATAAATAAACATATATATATATATATATATATATATATATATATATATATATATATATATATATATATATATATATATATATATGTATATATGTATATATATAAATATATATATATATATATATATATATATATATATATATATATATATATTTATATATATATATATATAATATATATATATTTATATACATATATATATATATACACACATATATATATATATATACATATATATACATATATATACATATATAAATATATATATATATATATATATATGTATATATATATATATATACATATATATATATATATATATATATATATATATATATATATATATATATATATATATATATATATATATATATATATATATATATATATATATATATATATATATATATATATGCATACATCTATTTATATATATATATATTTATATATATATATATATTTGTATATATATATATATATATATATATATATATATATATATATATATATATATATATATATATATATATATATATATATATGTATATATATATATATATATATATGTTTACTAACATTCCACTTAATAGAACTATAAATATAGCAACAGAATTGTTTTTTAAAGATAAAAGTCACTCAAAATATATTTCTAAAACTTATTTCAAAAAATTACTTCAAATTTTAACATCAGGTTCTCATTTCTTATTTAATGGAAAATTTTATGATCAATTAGATAACGTTGCAATGGGTTCTCCTTTAGCACCAATTTTAGCTAATATGTTTATCGGTTTTCATGAACAAACGTGGGTTAATAATTGCTCATCCTCCATACCGATTTTTTATAAACGTTATGTGAATGACATAATAGCAATTTTTAATTCAGAGTTTAAAGCGCAAGAATTCTTTAAACATCTCAATAAACAACACAAAAACTTAAGATTTACTATGGAAAAAGAAAAAGACAACCAAATTCTAATTTTGGATGTTCTTATTAATAAGTCTTATTCACTCTCTACATCAGTTAATCACAAAAAAACATACACGGGTCTTTTACAAAATTTCTCTAGTTTTGTCCCTTCATGTTACAAAACTGGTCTTATACGTTGCTTGATTGATCGAACATATAAAATTAACAGCACGTGGTTTGAATTTGATAAGGATAAAAAAATCTTTCTTTAGTTTTAAAAAATAATCAATTTCCGCAAAAAGTTATAGACACTGAAATTAAATTATATGTTGAAAAGAAAATTAATCCACCTGTTATAAATACTGTTGATAATACTAATATAAGATATTTTAAGCTTCCATTTATTGGATTTTACTCAAATTTCACTAAAACTAAAATTGATAAAATTATTAAAAAGTATTGTAAAAATGTAATAATCAAATTTATATTCACAACCGATAAATTAAAAAACAGTTTTTACATAAAAGATCCACTTCCTAAGATGCTTAAATCTAACGTTGTCTACAAATTTTCTTGTGCTGGCTGTAACGCCAGTTATAATGGAGAAACCTTCAGACATTTGACAACAAGGATAAATGAGCACCTTACGAGTGACAAGCAATCGCATATTTTTAAACATTTAAATTCATCCATTAATTGTAAAACACTAACTAATTATGATTGCTTTTAGATTTTGGATACTGCCTCTACCATTAACAAATTAAAAATAAAAGAAGCACTTCATATTAAATGGGAAAATCCTTCTTTAAATAAACAAACATCTCATTAGATTATAAATTTATCTATCTAACTTACTATATTATTATTATTATTAATATTTTAATAATAGGAAGTTTATTTTGTCATAATTTGTAATATAATTTTTAATTGGTTTGTAACAAGTTTATTTGTCCGTTAATTTTTTCTCTGTATTGTCTTCAGTTTTTAAATTTATTTACCAGAGTTTTAATTGTGAATTAAATCTTTTGAAAATGTAGTAAGACTACGAAACATGTCAAGAATAAAAAATATTGTGATTTTTATTAAAATTTTATATACATATATATATATATATATATATATATATATATATATATATATATATATATATATATATCGGCTGATATATATATATATATATATATATATATATATATATATATATATATATATATATATATATATATATATATATATATATATCAGCCAATCTTAAAATTGTCAAATCTTAAAATGTTTAATGTCGGCATCAGGTCAGTAAAAAATTTAGACACAGGGTTCGGCAAAAATGATGAATGTGCAAACATTTAGCATTAAAATGACAGAAAAACAAACGCCAAGTTTGCTGACATTTATTTCAAACATTGGCATTTGAAAAACAAACACATTTTACCATTCTATTAGGAATTTAAATAAAAATCGATTTTGCTGACTTTTATTTGAGTTATTTTTTTTTTAATTTAAATAAAACATTTGTTTTTCCGATTTTGTTTGTATTATTTATTAACACAGTCTTGGTCAGAAAGGTATGCGATTATAGCCATTATATGACCACGCAAATGATATTTTGTTTGTGTTTTTTTTTTAACGGAAAAGATAAAGAATATAAAATAAGAAAAAACTCAACTTAAAATTAAAAAGTATTTAATATTTATCTTTGAAAATAAATATTTAATTAACCGTTTGATAAATTGATTTAAAGTACACACACACAGAAAAAAGAAAAAGAAAAAAAAGATCAAAGAAAAAGAAAACAAAAAAGAAAAGAAAAAGAAATTCAAATAAAAAAAACAAAAAAAACAAAAAAAAAAACAAAACAAAAAAAACAAAAAAAACAAACAAACAAACAAACAAAAAACACTTTCGTAATTAAGAATAGAGTTAAAGAAACAAAAGAAAAAATTAAGGTAAACGAAAAAAAAAGAAAGACAAGAATAAAAGAAATAAATAAATCATTTGAATAAAGAAAGAAATCATAAAGCGCAAAGTTCGAAAATTTGAATCAAACAAAGAAAAAGAAAAGTTATTTTGAAAAAGACAAAGAAAAAGATATTATTTTAATTTTCAAGTTGTTGTATTTATTATTAATTTATCTGTTATTATATAGCTCATTATTAGATAAGCTATATTATATTTACTATATTTTTTAAAATACTATATTTAATTTACTTTAAACTATATTATTATACTATACTATTTAATCTAGAATTATTTGTATATAACTATATTATTAACTATATTTATTATCTATAACTATATTTATTATCTATATCATTTTCATTTATGTTAATCGTAATTAGTTGATATATTTTTTATTATTTTATAAATAACCTAATTTTATCTAGTTTTGATATATATATATATATATATATATATATATATATATATATATATATATATATATATATATATATATATATATATATATATATATATATATATATATATATATATATCTTAACTGTTACTTATTTTTAATTATTATTGTTATACTTATTTTTAATTATTACTGTTATACTTATTTTTAATTATTACTGTTATACTTATTTTTAATTATTATTGTTATAAATTTTTTTCTTCTTCTTCTTAGCATCTTTTGTTTATTCTATTTTACTTTTTAATGATGGTAGTGAAACAACCATGCGGCATATGCTTTACGGCGGTTGCTAAAAATCATTCAGCAATTCAATGTGACCTATGTGACAAATGGATACACATAAAATGTAATTGAATTGACAAACTAACATATGAAAAAGTCAAAACTTTAAATACTTGGTATTGCCTAATCTGTACAAAAACATTTCTTCCATTCTCTAACATTTCGGATCTTGAGTTATCTACCATACTTGCTGGAAAGTCACTGAAATTTAATGGGGTAAAAAATTTATCTGAAAATACAAATTTAAAAAAACTTTTTGGTGACCTCAATGACTTATCTTCCACCTCAATTAACTGTGAATATGTAGATGTTCCTATGTACAATAAAATCCCAAAATTCTTTAAATTATT